TCCATGTCCTGTGGAGCCCTGACATACAGGGGTCCAGGGCAGGCAGCTGTGGAGAGGCAAATGTTGGCAGCAACCTTCAGCTTCTGATTTTTGGTCCACACATTCATTGGAAAAAGGTCTGGAGTCTGCAAATCAAAATGACTGGAGACTGGTGGTGCAGGTACTCCAAGAACTTTAGGGCATTTCGTTACAGAAGCAAAAATCCCATAAAATTGTGTGTCCGTGGGGTGGGTGTTGCTGGTTCCACTCAGCCTCCTTGATGTAGCTTTGTGTGTTTGCTTTTTGCTACTGACAGGAAAAGAAATCTTAACTATTTTGTACCCTAGGAAACATTATTTCCTAACATTTCTTAAGCAGGTTTTTACTCTCTCTGTAGCTTCACATTTTGCTACTGTGATTTCGCTCTCTTTTTTTCTTTTTAATGTGTCTGTCTTCATCTGCCACGATATAGTGTTATTATTATGGGGTTTTGCCACTGTTTGGGCCAAGCCAACTGCCTGGAAATGATTTACTACATGTGGGCCATTTCCTTATAGGGAGTTTCCAGAGCCTGATCTTGTAAGACATGTTCCAAGGCTGATAATTCCAGCTGATAGCCAAGATGAAATCCACACCGCTCTCTTGGCTTTCCACACTTCTTTGAATTCCAGAGATTCGGCTTTCCAACACAGACATCTCCTTTTTTGGACAGGTGCATATTCCGCCGACACTGTCTCCAGCAGAAGCCAGTTAAGCAGTTGAGTTAGTTTTGGACCCCATTGCCTTTGGCTTCATTACCACGTCTGGTTTAACAACTGCTCGGTTTGAGCCAGGATCTGCTATTTATGCTCACTGCTTTTGACTGCACTCAGTAGCCATGCTCCAATTACAGCAGCTCAGCTATTCAGACCTGAAAAATGAGAGGTGCTTTGAAAGCACAAAAAACATATTTGCAGTTCTAGGTTTGTTCCTTCTACCTATGTGGAAGTGTTCTGAGAAGGTAGCAAGTATCCCTGTCCATTTTGGAGAAGGATCTATTTCTGCCTGGTGCCAGCACCGAGAGGAGACTTCATCATGGCTTCTAGCAGTAGCGACAGTTTCTCCTGTCTATCAGTCCTCCAGTTTATCAACTTTTCCAACCATGCAACAGTGCCAAGAAACCTATGGCTGTGATGCCATCAACGGGAAGGCTGATAAGGTCAACCTTGGCATAGTCCCTAATGCTGGAATACAAATTTCACCATTCCTCACGAGGTGTCGTGCTGGTCCTTGTGGGAAACCACCAGCAGTTGTTCTAGCTCTGTTCTGAGGAGTTTAGGGCTCTCACTTTAGGTAGGGGCTTCATTTATTTTCTGAAGTTTTCATCTTTTTTCTGTTTCCATCCTGAGGCCACCTTTGATTTTTGGCACCTGCTTCTCTTATTGGTTCCCCACAAGGCACTAAGAGCTAAAATTACACACTTTTTGAAAGCCTCATTATTTGACACCAGTAATGCTACCCTGACATGGGACTGACTTTAGGTAGTGTTCAGGACTTCATCAGACAAATAGGAGGGAAAACGGATTATTTAAATTGGATATGGTATTTGTTAGAAAAAGAATCCTGATTTTTTTCACTCCATATAAGACTAGAAGAGAACCAAATTCCCTGTAGAATAAAGTGTTGGGTTTGGCAAAAAAAAAAAAAAGAAAAAAAACCTAACTTACAAAACATTTTATTTGGGTAAAAATAAAATGTTGAATTTCAAAGTTAGCAACTTGATTTTAGTTGCTGCATGCAAGATAATACAGCAGTAAAATCCTCCACTGTTTGCCTAACATCATGCCTGCTGTTTATGTGTATTTCATTATGTTCTGTATTTCATTATCTTTTTATTTGGCATTTTAAAATAAAGGGTTTGTGCTGATTTTTAGCTTGTGTATAGAATGTGGTGACTCGTAACCTAATCACATAATTACTACTGAAATGGGTAATTGGTATGTAACTGATAATTTGTAGCCTAATTGCTACATTAATAGGGACTTTGTTCGTGGGTAATTGGTAAATCTGTTATTTAGCTCAGTGGCACAATAGAATTTGGTGAAGCATCAAAAAAGTGCATTGGAGGGAGGAGAGGTGTGTGTGTGTCACTGTTCAGCCCCAACTTTTGTACCCAGGCAGTGATGGAGGATAAGGCAAGGGCCAGGCTTCCCACCTCCTTCCCAGGGGGAGCAGGAGGCTGCTGACCCTGCTGAGTGCTGATGCCCAGACTCCCAACATTCAGGGCACTGCCTTACTGCCAGAGGCAGGTCTTGATGGCAGGGCAGCAGGGCGAGAGCAGGAGACTCCAGTGCAGTGTCTGAAGGATAAGAGCAATCACAAGTGCCCTTTCCCAAATCCCAAATACACTCTGGCTGTGCCAATGATTTTGCACTGTTTGGCCTTGCTAGGGAATGGCAGAAGTTTAAAACTGCAAAAGAAGGAAAAGTCCCTCACCCCAGGTGCTCACTGAGTAGACATGTAGACCCAGAGTGGAAGGGAAAACAGGCAAAAAGTACCTCAGCAGACTAAAGGTAGCACAGGATATAAAATATGTATTCTGGGGTCTTGGTCTAGTGCTTTATGTCTGCTGCCAAGTTCTTTAAATGATGGTGAGATGCTGGGACCATGAAAAATGGTTTTCAAAGCAGGTTAACAGGTGGGTTTATGTCATATAAGTATATGAATGAGACAAATGAGAACCCACTTCTTAAATAGTTACTTCAAAAAAGACATGAAAGTAGTCCATCCCTCCCATGTCACTAATATCAGCTGCATTATCATTGGTATTTCCATAACCAGTTAGGCTTAAACCAATTCATGGGGGCTGAAGAAGCCAGGGCCAGCCAAAGACACAGGCACAGCGATGACACCTGACAAAAGAGCATCACCACGTCCTTCCGGGATAGAACCACAACACAGTGACACAAACCTTGCCCATGCCTAAGGCCTCACAGGTAGAAAAGCTGGTTTGCACCTCCCTTGCCAAGTCCCTTCATTGGCACATGAAATTACAGACAAGCACTCAGCCTACACAGCAGGCTTTGTCACTCAGCATTTGCCCTGATGCTGCAAAACCACAAAAGCCTGGAGTGACAGAGCAATGGTTTGCTATAGGGAGTCCAAACTGAGGAACATCAAGCCTAATCTTCCCGAGCAGCCCCGGTGGTACCTGCATGTGTGGTCCAGTTCAGAAGAGGACTGTGCTTTTGACCACTTCTGGTGTGTTTCAGATTGCCTCATGAAGTAGTCTCAGAGCACACAAATAAACTGGGCACTAGGATCTGGCTATCAGCCTGCATTGACAGCAGCACAAAGCTGTTGCCTGGTGCTGGTGACAGGGTTAGATCTCAGAGAAACAGGACAGACAGTGTTAGAGCTCTCCTTAGCCAGCCATGGCCAGGAGGTCTCAGGGACAAGAGGGAGGAGAGGATGGGGAAGCCTTACTCCACTTTCATATCTGGGCACACTGCTTGGATGCTACCACAGTTGCTTCCTTGACTTGCTTCCTGTTGATGTCTATTCACATTCAGATGTCTATTCACATTCATATATCTATTCACATTCAGAAGGATGCTACCACAGCTGCTCCCCTGACTTGCTTCTTACTGGTGTCCATTCACATTCAGAAGGTAGCTAAAAAGCAAGAGTAACAAAAGCAAGGTGTCCTTTTTGTGTCTGTCTCAAAGATGGCATGCTCCAACTCATGCATAATTAAGTAAATCCTCTTTGGGAGGAGACAAGGAAATGACACCTTCAATTTAGGTAACAGGGAATATGATTTGTGGTTCCAGTGGGTGTCACAGGCACCAAGAAGAATTAGGGAATAAGAGTTCTTTACAGGTAGTTCTTTTGACACTTTACATCCAGTTCTTGAAAAGTGAGGTCCGTAAATCCACATTCTGGGGGACCTCAGGCCCTAATTAGGCCTCTAAACATGTGCTTTTCAGAACTAATAACCCAATAACTCCAGTAGGACTACTCATGTCAGATTATTCTCCTGGTATACATCTATTAAGGACAAAAACTAACAGTAAAAGAGAAAAGTGTATCACCCAATACAGATGAGTCAATATTATTTTATGTTGTATTCTCATGTGAATATGTACTACATATTTTTCCTCATATGTGTGCAGTCCAAATCTGCCATCGTTATGCATCTGGCTAACAAACCACATAGGCTTCTTTCTGGGGATAAACACTTCTTCTTATATTAAATTTTAGACTTCTGTTCTCCATGTGATGCTGCTAACATAATGTGCCCCATCACTCATCTGCCTCAGCAAGGAGAGAGAGCATCCAGACAGCTGAGCTAGACCCCACTGGCCATGTTCATTTTCAGACATTTTTTGATTCACAGTTTCACACTGCATTGGAAAGAAGGAAGCCTGTTCCAGAGGCAATGATGTGGGCTGTCGGGTATCTCAGTTTCAGAGGTGGGCAAGGAAATGCGTGCCATCAACAGAGACTGACACATTTGTGTTGCTCAGCCCCATCTAGAAGACTGACAATGCTACCAGCTTTCACTCCCAGCCTCATAGGTACAGCTAAGTGTAAGCAATTCAAGTCTTGTACTGACAGGATTGGTCCCGCAGTAAAATTCTGTATATGCATCTGCACGCAGAAGGAGGGACAGGTAAGAAATCAGATGGGTCAAAATAGTCTTCACTTTCTGCTGCTTCATAACCTTCCCCAGATGGACACTTCCTGCTCTCAGTGTGCCTGCACACACACATGTAAGCATCTTCCCCTGGCTGTTCCATCTCCACAGGCTGGCTGCAGCCCTGACTGTGCCACATGTTTCTGTATCCCTGTGCAACTTGCCATGGCAGCAGGGTGGTACCTGTCCACCCTCTGCTCTGACCTTCACTTCAGCCTGTGTGTTCACACAATGCCACACGACCAGTTCTCTTTTACCCTCATAATCTCCTCCATTTCTCTGAAGGTGCTGCTCACCCTTAGACAGGGTGATGGTGTCAGACACAACGCAGGTCCTTCAGAGGTTCATAGCTAGGGCCAGCACAAAATGGAGAATTGGGAGAACAAAGTGGGAACCTAAGAGGACTCCAGAAACAAATTACTCCTAAAGCACCCCGAAGCAACGTCTGAGGTATCACTTATTTCTTCTCTCTCCAAGGCCTAGAGCTGGGTAGGCTGAGCAGGGTGGACCTCGCACAGGTTGCTGTGCTGGCAGGTGCCAGGCACCATGCAGCACCTCACAATGCTGCTGAGATTAGGCCTGCCCATCAGAGAGGTGCGTATGGGGGTCCAGAAGTCCTCCTTCCCCAATAATAAGACACCCGGGATTCATCCCCCACCTCTGCCTGGGGGATTTCAAGGCCACATCCTCCACGAGGGCACACACTTACCAGGGAGGAGCAAATGATTTCTACCACTGGTCTCAAAGCTTAGGCTTTGTTTTCCAAGATACCTTTAAATCAGCCACCTGAAAGCCCCTGTGATGCTGCTGCAGGTTAGCTGTTACACTGTGGAATAGCACCGGGACAACGGGCACATTGTGACCTCTGCAAGCATCCTGCATTAGCCTTGAGACACCAGCATAGAGGCATGCAGCGCTTCGCAAATCCGCTCCTCCGGCATGTACTTCCCAGGAGCTGTTCTGATGCTGCTCAAAAGCAGCAGTGCCTGAAGTATTTAAGATCTCTGAGGACACTGCAGTTCAATGGCTTCAACGCTGGTTTTCTAGGGGAAACAGGTATTCCAGAGAGTCTTATAACAGGAGAAAAATCATCTGAGGAAGCCGACCTGCGTTGGCCGATATGGACACTTGTTCACACTGGCAGCTGCCAAGGGTGGGTGCTCTGGCAGTACAAACTTCTATTAAGAGGTGATCTGCCCACCCATCAGCAGAATGGGGCTTTTCAGGAGTTGTGTGAGTCTCTGACTACATCCCATGGAAAGTGTGTAATTGTGACGAGGGATAAAACACAGCTGAGGCGTGTGGGGGCAAAAGATGGCAAGGAGACGGAGATGGAAACTCTGCCACCAGCCCTACCAGCAATCCACATAGTCAGCATTAAGTGTCGCCCTGAAGCTGCTAGAGCCAATGGCCATGAGCTTCTTGTGCCTGGTCTTCTTTGAAGTGGTTTATTATGAACAACAGGAATAACTTTTCTCTGAGGTCTATTGAGAGGACCCCCTCCTATAGGTGTATCCTCCTGAGTGATTTGATTGTTAAAGGACTAGAGAACATGACCCCAGACAAATGGAACGCGGCGTTTAACAGAGTGAAGAGATGGGAGAACTACTGCCTTGGTACACTTTCTTAAATGGTTCTTCCTGCAGTCAGGCTTCAGATGTGTTTTGATTAGCGTTGAATGAGCTATCCTGCTCCAGCCCTGCCAACCTCTTTCCTTCAAAGAGTGTAAAAACCTAACAGACCACATGTCAATAGCACTAATAAAAGATTTAAATGCAGATGTTTCATTTTAGGAGTATTCCATGACTAGGTTGATATGTGCTATGTTTGGGCTGTGAAGGGACAGTTAATTTCCCTTATCAAAAAAATGGGCCAAAGCATGCCTCAGATCTAGTTTAGCCAGCCTTCTGCACAAATTTCTCTTTTATGGGAGTCATAAGACCATACCTCAGATGCAAATGCCCTCAATTTTGAGAAAGCCTGGGCTGCAAAGTCAATTCTGTAGGTCAAGCCTGTCTTTGATGCCAATGGGAGATCGGCTCCTGAGCAGGGAATATGCTGGACCATCACTGGCACCAGAATTCACAGCCTAAAGAAGTCTGAAGAATTTAATATGACTTTCCTATCGTATATGCATTAACATCTGATATCAGCTCAGTATTTCATTACACTGAGTACCTTGCTTGCAACAATGGCCTGCAAGAAACATTTCAGTGACAGGTAAAATATATTTTCCTAAAAGGGGAGTTCCTTTTGAAGCCTAACAGTTAGTAGTTGGTTCAGGCTTTAAAGCTTGAAGAGCTCAGTCTCACAGGATAAAATATGGCACTCATCATTGGAGATTTTTTTTATCCATGACAGTGTTTACTGAGATGCAATGATTTCTCACGGATCTGAGTTCAAAACTTTAGTTATGAGCAATGAAAAGAAGTATTTCTTAACAGCAGTTTTTTCAAGTTCATTGAACAATTTGGTCTTTCAAAAGTGGATCCCAGTTTGCAATCTCTGTGTTGCTCATTACTGGGTATGGGTTTATTGTGTACTTCTAAGAGAACTAAGATCATAAAAAGTTATGATTCACAGTTTCACTAAAACATTTCAATACAGTGAGGCAAATCTGTGCAGTTTTTATTCCTGTGTGTGGAAACCAACAGAACAAGCATTGTGATGAGGAGTGGTAGAGAGATATCTAAAATAGGGAGTCTCGTCTACCTTCAGAAAAATCCACACATGTAACTCTCTAGAGCTGAGATGTAAATATGCAGAGAAAAATAATCATATTCACTTCATATTCATCAGCAAAGACATCTGCTCATTTTTCACAACTCTGGATGCAGCAGAGAATGGAAAATTAGTTGCTTCAAATGCACGGGGGAAAGAAGAAAGGGGAAAGGGGGGAGACTTTGTTTTTATTGTTCTGACACCATGAGCCTGAAGAGAATTTCACATTGGCTTGAAGCAGCAATTGGTTGACTAAATATCAATGAATATGAAGTGGTATGAAATCAGCATGAGGAAAGAAACAGGCCCGGTGCCTCTTTACCACCAGGTAGGCAGTAATTGCACTGTAGCTTGGTTTTCTTAAGAAATAAATGATGCACACCCCATTTTCCCAATGACTGTTTACCTTCACCCCACGACACTGCACTATGCTAATTGTCAGTGTACTAATTGAAGTAACAGCATGCTATAGTCAAAATCAGCACAAACCTGATGGCTTCATTGCTGTGTTCTGGATTCACATGAAGAAGAATGAGACCAAAGCTCAAGGGAGCATAGTCCCAGTCCCAGTAAGGCCTCACTGCAAGTCAGCCTTACCAGTCTCTGCTGTCATGGCTTACACAGCTGCAGATTCATAGCTGCATTGCAACACTTCTTCATTGGTAGGCTGTCTTCTGCCAACCCTAATTCACAGTGGAGTCCATGGGACCAGGTACAGAATCACCTGCTTTTCATCCATCTTAGCAATAAGGAAGTATCAAAAGGAAATTGTTTGTGTCACAGGGATTTATCATTCTTTTCTGGATTGTATTCTTGGGTAAAACAAGGATGAAGCCTCCATGAAGGTTTCATGGAAACAAGCATGAGGAAAGAGGAAGTGTTTGGTGCCACACCTCCTAGAGACCAAGGGGAAAGCATCCTTTTCCTGCAACGGTATGGGAAAGCCTCACTAAACACCTTCACTCTTCCCAGCCTCCAAGTGGGAGGTTGGGGGCTGGTGAAACTTTTCTACCCAGCTCTAGTTAATGTGTTTGGAAACCCCTAGGCACTATAAGGAACCAAGTTCATCTGAAATCAAATGAACTTTGGTATTTTATAAAAAATCCTCTGAGATGAGTCCTCTTCTTTCTTCCTCCCTCCCCCTTTGCTGCTGCAAAGCGTAATTACAACCCATGTTTTCTATAAAACGCTGTAATCCTTTGCACCGAAGAAAAATATTGTGGCTCATACGGTTCTGACTCAACTGGTAATTTAGGATGACAAGCAATTCCTTTAACATATGACTAAACAAGCTAATAGGAGGATGTTACCAAATAGCATGCACCTTATTCAAGAGCACTTGAAATAACATGCATGAGTCTAATATCTTCTTGATAGGGTTTTAAGTACTTATTATTTTATCAGGTTTGCTCTTGTACACTTGACCACTGCAGGATGTCAAAGCAAATCTCTTTGTTCCTACTGGGGAACAAAGGACTCTCCCTGTGTGCCTGAAATACACCACTAGAATAAAATGATTAAAGTATTTTTGCATAAAAAGGAGAGGAAGATGCAAATGCATATGTTGATGAAGAAGCTATAACAGATGTCCCTCTGCTCCGAGCTAGCTGGAATGCAAATCACCTGAATTTTCATGATGTCTCATTGACTAATTACTTCTAAATGCTTTTCCAAGCCTCATCTTCAAGGGAAAAAAGCATTTCTTTTCCTCCAGCTCATGAAGGAAGCCTGCACTGATTGGCTCAACACATTTTTGTCCCTATTTTCAAGCCCTCTGTCCTAATAGCATGCTGCAGTCCAGGGTGTAGACAGGACAAATGCAGTTGGGTCACAGAGGCCTAAGCCAGGGATACAATGATAGGACACAAGGTTTGAGCTTCTGTTGACTGAGCAGGCAGAGTGGGGCCTATTTTGTGCCATGCCTGAGTGGTGGGAGAAGGCTGGGTGGGTAGGTAGTGGAAAGGTAACCAAGACTGCTCAAAACCCAGCCTCTGTGAACTTGTTCCTTGATGTTTCCTTCTGCAGTGACTATGCAGAGGAGATATGGAGAGACATGCACAGAGGAAAGAAGACAAAAGGGAATGATGTTCTATGTAGGAAATGCAAACTAAGAAAACTGTTTCTGAAAACAAATACATGTTAGGGCTATATTCATTTATATGACTTAAACAGCACTTAAGTGTCAGTGTCTGACATTTCCTGTTGGCTAGCTCTAAGCCTCCTCAAATCAATAAGAAACACTAAGCCAGGAAATTAGCCTGAGTTTAAGCCAGAGGACTATGAGTCACAGTAAGTCCAAAGAGCCACAGGACTAGGAAAGTGCCACTGTTAGAAGCTGAGGCATTGGAGAGCAAAACCAACAAATATGATGAAGCCCAGGAAAAAAAAAGAGATTAATGAAGAAGGATAATCACTCGTGCTGTGTATCTTTGTTTTCCAAGATACCCTTAAATCAGAAGAAACTATTTACATTCTCTGCTCTGTGACAGCCATCTCAAGAGCCTTTGGATAGACTGGAAACAGTCTTGCAGGCAGGCAGCCTTTGATGCTGGTACACACAGACATTTTCAATAACTCCCGCATCAGATTCACAGAAGGAAAAATCCGTGCCATATGGAGATACACATGAATGCATGCCTAATCACTTATTTGTGCCCAAACAAACTTTTTCTCTACAGGAACATATGAGGAGCCTGTTGCTACGGGGTAACTGTTCTGGCAACTACCAGGTTATTTCTGTATTGCGCTGGAGAAGGGCCAGCTGGTGCTCTGATTACTCCCAAGATTGGTACACACATATGCCAATCAAGGCCCATCTGAGTCTAGATTATATGCTGGGCTTGCTCCAGTAGCCAAACCAATCAGCTTCAAAAGGCAAAGCCAAACCGTGGACTGACATGGACTGTGCATAAATATCCAGCTACCTCCAAGTCCCCACAGTCACGTACAGCCAGCGTAGTCAAAATGGCTTTTGGCACATGTCCAAGGAGGGAAACTTAAACTCGGGTTTTAGAAATTCTGCCTGACCTGTCTCCACACGCTCATGTAGGTTGTGCATTTCTTTGCTTTCCACTTTATCAGGAGTGTGTCAGACACAAGACGGTCACAGGGTAGTCAACTCCTTCCTGTGAGGTCTATCAGCTTCTCATTAAATTTGACTTGAAGGCTGAGGTTAGTACACCGTTAATAAATAGGGAGATGGTGCAACAAGTTGATGCATCTTTGGAAGCAATTTCGCAAAGACTGTGAAGAACTGGTGAAGGCTGAAACAAATGAGGTTTGTTTCAGCTTAGTCTATTGATTTCCCCCCTGACAGAGCTGGAAAGGGGGCTGCAGTGCTTCTGTTTGGCCAGAATCGAGGCCAAGGGGGTTGACAGTCAGCAGGTAGAAAGAGATACTGATTGAGAGTCACAGGTTAGAGCTGGGATCAAAGAGAACATTGAAGGACTTTACCCAAGATAGAACATTAGCCATCTGGGCCTTTACTGAGAAGAGTAAGAAAAAAACAGTTGGAATTGCTGAACACAAGAGAAAAAATGAGGAAGGAAATGTTGGAAACAGTTGTTTGCATGTTATGATCCTGAAAAGCTTAAAAGTATTTAGCTCCCTTACTTGCAGCACAGTGGCTTGAGAGCAATCTCTCCTGCCCTGGGGCACTGCTCAGAGAGCTCTGCTTTCCTCCAGCATCAGTGCTGTTGTGTTTCTGGTAAAAGTCTCATGGCCTTCAGACTAAAAGTGTTCAGTGGTAGTAAATCAAGCTGAGTTCATTTTAGCCAAAGTCTAAAATGGAGTATGCAAAAACACTCCTGTCAAATGCTTCTATACTTGTTTTTCACTTTAAGGACCACAGATACCTCTCAGCCACTGAGCTACTTCAGGATGGAAAAGACCTATTCCAGCAGCCACTTAAGTAACCACAGCACCTAAGAGAGGGTTTTTTTTTCCCCCTTAAACACCCAACAGCTTATTTCTTTATTACTAAACAAGGATTCTGGCCCTTGTTTAAAAACACATGGCCTTCATCTCACCAAAAGAAAGCCTAAAGGCTTGAACACCA